TCATCGGTGGGGATTGTCCAGTCGTGCCGAAACATTATTGGCTCAACGACTTAGGTACGCTGCACAGGCTTTCTCACAATGGTGTTAGAGCGACTATCAAGAACTATCTCGTTGGCCTGGTATGAATAAAGACGTGAGGGAGTGGGCATGCCCCTGTGTAAACCGCCGAAAATCTTAGGTATTTAGACCTTTGGGCTCATTCAAAATCTCTGACGCTCGTTTTGATCATGTTCATTTGGATTTGGTAAGTCCCTTACCAGATTCAAATGGACACTTACCTTTTAACGAGTGTGGACCGTTGAACATCAAGGGCAAAAGCAGTGCCCATTAGGACATTACTGTTAAAACAGTGGCCATTGCCTTCGTCAAATGATGGGCAAAGAAACTTCGGCTGCCCTTCAACCATCACTACAGACCGTGGATATCGGTTCGAATCTGGACTTTTTGCTGCCTAGATACACCACTAGGAATCACACAATTACGAATGATTGACAAGCCTACATAACGATAGAACGCTTTCACCAAAACTGGAAAGCTTCAGTCTCAGCTGCAAGTGTTTCATACTATACTGAGGCTCCTCCACTCGTGTTACTCGGTATTTGCAATGCAGTAAAAATTCATGTCGGATACGTCGCAATAAAACTTGTTTGCTGAACGATACTCTGACTCCCAGGAGAGTTCGTGTATCCTTCGCCTTCTTCAATGAATACGGATCCAAACTCTTACACGGACAGGCTTACAGATGCCGTGAGTTCAGCGAAACCTGCTTTCACTCAACTGTAGTCAACAGAAGTTTTCGTCCAATCTGTCTCACGATATAGTACACACGTTTTTGTATACCAAGAATCATTACGATGATTTCTAGAAATGACACACGAAGGACCCTTTAAAGTCCTTCATTGCAAAACCAAATACTATATCACCGATAAGAACGAAACTAACGATAACGTCAGAATTCACCGTCTTAAAGCGGCGTATCTAAAAGGCCTTAATAATGTTGGTTTTTGTCTTGCAAACTCAGACAGCGCGAACCTCACAGTTGAGATACCTTGCCCAATAATCAACAACGACGACGAAACCTCACTGTTATTTAACAACTGGCCCAAAACCATGCGCTCTGGACGAAGAATAAAGTTTCCGGAACACTTAAACGATGACTGTGCTTAGGAAACCACGTAACATTTTTATCCCGATTTTTCGTATTATGGTGTGGAAGACAAAAACAAACATTATTTTTTCTAATATGCTAATATATGTGTTCATTGTCAATTTATTTTTCCCAAAAAATTATTGCTTGAAAATTGTTTATGTTTCATGTCGACATTACACATGTATACCAGTTCGTTTTCCTTTTTTCGCACGTTTTGTGTCCTCACGCACGTATGAGTGCATTTCGACGAACATGATTTCTCTTTTACATTCCGGGGCCGACGGAAACGATGAAAAACCGACGAGGAATGCAATTAATTAAAAGTTCCATTGCCACGTTGTACCGCATGGCCCCTTATTTTAGGAAAAACGATTAGATGCTGCTGAACATGACAAGTTATTGGAGGTCTTAGACATCAACACTGTTGAATACCGGCTCAGTGGTCTAAAGGTTAAGAGTCTGCATTTGAAACCGAAAATTTTGAGTTCAAGTCCTGCGTGCAAGACTGTGGATACGCAGTGTTAAGCAGTTTCGTACTATGACGAAAAGGCCGTCCAGTGCTTCCAGGTTATCCATGGTGGTCTAGCTTTAGTCGACTCATGGATTCAACTACTAAATTACTATAATCTTCACAAGCCTCCACTCTGATAATTATCATAGCAGTGTTTAAAGTGGTGAGCTCGTTGGATTAAAACCTTTTGCTGGCCACATCTTAGGGTCATCATTACCACAGTAGGGATGAGTGAGCTGTAGAGGCAAACAAATCCCAAAAATAAATAGTTCTAGACGTAACGACTGAATCGCCAATCTTCGGCTTGAACGTAGAACTAACGAATCAAAAGTTGTTCGATTAGACCAAGCTACGTTCTTCTGTATAGCGTGCAAAGCGTTTTTGGGTTACTCCTATTAGATTATATTAAAAAACAAACTTCGTGCCCAATTTAAACTGTTCTCAAACAGTACAGCCTGTGCTATGAAGTCAAGGGTTTCTTTAACGTAAATAAACGTGCTGAGAATCAACAAAAATATTCTCCAAAGAGTGGAATTCTTTCAACCTTTCCAAGCAGACAGCCAAAAGTTAACAGTCACAAACTGAACCACACTGTGATATCGAGCTTACTCAAATACGACATTATTGCCAATAGTCCGGCAAAATGAAACAGAAAAATTAGGTAACAAAAGATAAGTCTTTAATCAACGTCACATAGTAAAAGCTCAGGCAAGGAACAGGACACAAAGTGTGACTAAAAGAGGTTTGAATAAAGGTTAAAACACACGGAAGGGAGAAAAACAAACAAATGGCAGCACTGTCCAACGAAATGCTGTGGGGGGATTTTCATTGTTTTCTTTCCATTACAGTGCATATCTTCGACATGCTGACCTCACCAGTTTTAACGGACAGACCTAAATGAAGGCTCACGGCCACACATCCACACTAAATCACGAGTGGTTACGCCGTGTTGAATATCCCTTCCAACTACCAGCCATCCTAGACCTAACGCTTCTCAACACATCAATAGCCTTCTAAATATGTTTTCGAACTCCTTCCCTTCTGACTTCTGATTTGACTGGGTCAGTATACTTCGACTAATAAAGTGTTACGTGTAAGAGCGTTTTCAGTCTTCGATTAATTGTGCATCTTTAGGCGTCCAGTGAAACGGGTTAGCTTTCTACAGTTACTTTCATATTAGTAGCCATTTTGAGGGTTTACTTATAAGGTTATGAAATAAGTGTTTACAGAGTTTTTGTTCTATGCCTCCATCATATTGTCACACAATCTGCTTATGTTGGCACAAAGCCAAGAATAATGGCTAACTTCAAAATCGTAGCCTGTAGACTCGGCTCATATCAGTCACAGACTCTCCGTTCCTATGTGGCTTACCAAAACTGTCGTACCGTTCTTGTTTTACAGTTCTCGCTGCATTATTTAGAAGGCACGTCGCTCATATAATATATATTTTAACGTACACGAATTTAATACTCACATACAAAACATGAGAGATCTGAGGAGGAAAGAATGTAACAGCAATTAAACTCACTACTATTTCATATTAATTTTGTGTTTAAAAAATGAAACAGTGCAGTGATAGGCAAAAAACATTTCGGTGTTTTCAAATGCTTACAAAAAACCGAAACTTCGGTATACATGTGGTGACATTTCTGGATGAAGCTAACTGTGGAGGTATATAGAAATGAATGATCGGATACGACAACCTCATCTTTTAGGTAACACGTGGGAAATTACTGTTGTCACTTGTCAACTCTGTTGTTCCTTTGTCAAGTAAATGGTGGTTCATTATATAGATGAGTTGGTTTCAGTCTATCGATACTCATTGTCTCTGTCTATTCGTCTTTTGCACAAAAAGATATTTGGGTTTTACTGCAACCATCTCAAAAAAGCCTCCAAATTGAAGGCTGAGTGGTGTTTTTGGATTCTTGCACCTTACTCAGGTGTTTTGCAAGTTTTTATCCCAGTGTGTGCGTAGCTCGTAACTGTTAACTAATATAAACCGGTCTAAGCCTTGTAGTTGATCGGAGGAACTTCTCGGTCATGCTTTTTACATTCACTACAAGAATTGATAAACTCGCCAGGTAGACTGAAAGTTATTCCAACAACTAGTTCTTCCTATTAGCACTATGAATCAGCTTTAAAGGCTATCAGTATTCCTAACATAAAAAATACTGTGAATTCTGTTCACAGAATGGAGTGACAGTGGGTCATAAGGCCAGCTTTTGAGTGATGGTGGAAACGTCCTACCAACCGACTAACCTGAGGACTATATGCTACGTAACGTATTCTGTTATAACCAAAAAGTTTCGTTCAATTGTTGATTACCCAGTTTCAAATTGAACTCGGCTATCAGTTGTTTTCGTGATTGAAGCACTGAAAATAGCGACCCAGTTATGAGTGAAAGCTGTAGTCACTTCCTTAGCCTTGAGGCCGGATAACGGCATGACGATTGGCAACCTCATGAATCCATTTTGCATGTAGTTACAGCCATTGGAATACGGTAAACGACCAACCAAACCTACATTAACATAACGCAATGATTTGGTTTGGCCGCCCCTAACTCTCTTCCAACCATCCCCTATACTAGTCAACATTGCGCGTCGTGGTAATCGGTGTTCAGGCATACGTAACATGTGGCCCAGTCATCACAGTTCATGAAGATTTACAGCCTCATCAACTGATTTGCCACCATTCCCTAATACTCTGCGTCTAACCTTACTATAGCTTACCCGTTGATCTCAGCATATGCGAGCGATATTTCTAAGATATCTGTGACCAAACACTAGTGACTTGGAAGTATCTACTACTCTTAGTGACCACGTTTCGCAGCCGTGCCCTCAAATGCCCTGGTATGACCGAGAGTGGTGAGAATCAGCTCTCACATGGCTACGTGCATACAACCACTTCCAGGAAAGTCCCACTTACTACCTACCGCAAAGAGGTGTTGTTTATGAAATTGGGAGGATGAAAAGCGAATATCCGGCACGTTAACCGGGTTGGTGGATATGGAGGATACACTAAGGCGAGTTGGAAAATCCTGATTCCAAACCAATGGTGCATATGGGCTTCAGTATTCTGAGGGAAGGAATGGCGTATGAACCAACTCTTGGTCACCGACTACTATGAGACTTCATCTCCTGACGTCGTTCCACTGCCTTGTGGGTTATACCTTTAGGTCAAAGGCTCGGGGTGTGGCCTATTGAGAAAACTACCTGTTTCGGTCTAAGCACCCGGAAAGTCGAACGACTCAGTAGGCACAGAAATGCTCTTAACCTTGATAATGAAAGCAATCGACGAAAACCAGCATTAGTACAGGGGTGAGACTTGGACAATCTGACTATAAAAATTAGGTAGCGTGAAGTCTGGTGCGCTACGGTTGAAGGTCGGCCTAAAGACCACCATCTGCCGAATGAACCAATCAGACTATCGGCCGTTTTAGTTTAGATGCGCTACATATAAATGATCTAATCCAACAGCTCTATGTAGATATACACAACAAGATCAAAGTGCATCTAAGGTTTCGAAAACGTTTTGAGAAATAACCATGAGGTTTGGCAAACTGTTGTCATCGTTTCTGTCAAACACTGAATACAACTTTTTACAGATGGAAAGCTATACTGCAAAACAATCTTGTTCTTCTGTCAACTCTCATAGGAATTGTAGTAGGAATCATCCTGGGTGTTATGCTAAATTTTCTTACCGTCCCAGAACCTGTCTTATTATGGATAGGTAATTATATGTAAACTGTTAGTCAATAATAGGTCTACCTGGGGAACTTTTTATCAGGTCATTAAATTTGGCTGTTATCCCTCTGATAACCACGAATATAATGTCAAGTAATCTCTGTGTTCTGTAGACTTCCCAAACGTCTATTATGTGTAGTGTCGTCTAAGCTGAAGCCTTCAGTGCAAGGGAAAATGGCGGTGCTTGCTTTGGGATACTGTGTTTCAATGAATATTTGTGGAGCTTTTCTTGGTCTCGGTATTACCGCACTTATCGACCCAGGTCCATGAAATTTTGTGCTTAACTGTTTATTTTAGGTGGTAGATACACCACAAGTGTTAAAGAGACGAACAGATTGTCAAAAGGCTCCAGGAAAATCGAAATCTCGGACGTATTTCTAGACTTCTTCAGGTCAGTTTAAGTGTGAGGAACCCCTTAATTTTACGGCACTAATTTATCTGTAAGTGAATATGCTTTGTGAGAAAATATTGACAGTTTGTGTCATTGGTAACAATAATTCTGAAAAACTTACTACTATATATTAACCTCTTGTCAACCACTTTACTCAGGAGCTAGAAGTAAGCTTTAAAAAAAGCTACTTCACAGTTTCTGAACGTATTTTTGTTGTCAGAGTGGTATTATTATTTTGCATTTATTCACTCAATATACATTGTAACTCTCTTCTCCTATAAGAACTTGTCAAATAGCATTGTAGTTATAACAAGTTCCAAACCCTTTATTAAGTGGTTTTCTTAACATATCACCTAACATTTCATAAATTCTGTCCGGATGTAATATAATATACACCGTGTCATAATTTCAAGTATACTGACTCACATTTTTAAGAGTAAGGGTACTTGACTTGGTGACTGCGATCCCAAATGCTCATGGGAGAAGCACGATTTCGTTACTCTTGATGATTTCAGTTTCCTGAAGTGTTTTGGATATTTTTCAATCCCGTGACTATGATGTTACCAGTTTCTCTCTCCCTCTCTGATTATCTTGTTACATACACTCAGTACATTTTATATTAAATAAAATGCATGTATTTATTATTTTGCTTACACAACTTATAATGTCGACTTCCTATATTAGTAAACGATAGGATTATGGCTATTTCATTCCAGTTACTTGTCACTTTAGTGTTTTTTATTTCGGCTATTTAACTTAGCCTTATACCCATAATATCAGGGTGTCTCCGTACTGCTTAACTTGTTTGATCATGTTCCAAGTCTCTGACTATTTTAAAACAACCTGGCAGATTTCATCTACTAAAGACATCATTTTGCGTCTTGTACTTTCATTTGTAATCTTTATGAAGTCAATCATAATAGCTATTGATTATTTTACTTTTTATGTCAACGTATCTATAGATCCACTGGGTAGAATACGTAGTGTCAATTGCAACTTATTTTTAGGTACGGAAATAAATCTGTTTTAATCTATGCCTCGCCTCTATAGAATGTAAAATAACTCGTAAAGTTTAGTTAACAACGACATTTAGTTTCATCTTGTGTAATAGGGGTTGTATGACTGACACTTCTTACTTCGTGAATGGCTTCAGTTAATGTATACTAATGGGGTATAAAACTTGTAGGTACAGAAAATTTAAATAAGACGTAGCAGCTTCCTCAAAGTTGATGATATATATTTAGGTCCATTAGTGAACTAGAAAATGAGTAACTAAACCTAAAAATTGACGAACTACTGACTCGACTCCTATGTCTAAAGAAGTGACTTTATCAGGGTTTGTGGGACACTACTAGTCAGCGATTAGCAGAAACAAATAAGTTCCTCTAGACTGTCTAGTTTACTGAAATGGTCATGAAAATAGTAAAGAGATCATTTTACTTATTCAAAATAGGTTTATAATGGGTACCTAGAAGTTGGACTTGGTTGGGGTTTTTCAAGGTATCACATAACTTTTCTTCTTTTACAGAAATATTTGTATGCATTTTGATGGTTGTTGATGATTGTTGCATAGGCACAAATTATATTGACTATGGTTTTAATTATCAATGAAGGTTTATCGTATTCTACGAATTTTAACAATTCTTAAAAATAAATTCACTGATATTCTGATTGCATTCTCAGTACAATATATACGATCTGCATTCAAATAAAAGTTTTTTTTCACTTAAATATTTTTAGAAATATGATTCCTGATAACATTGTTAGGATGTTTTTGTTTTCGGTAAGTTTTCAGCGGGCAATTATCAATGATAATGTCATTATTTAAATAATTGTAAACAAAATTTTGTATATTTCCCTTTCAAAGTCTGTCAACATCCATGTAACTCACTTCACGTCACTTGTTTGTAGCTTAAGTGTATAATTTAAGGGTTATTTATCCTATTCAAATGGATTATAAAATCAACATTCTAATGTTTAATTGAAAGAGTTTACATCACTAATATAGTAATATTTAGGGGATGATTTCACCATATATTTGCGCGGACGACTACTGTGGTTAAAATCGTAATGGTAGTATTATAACCAACGGTTTTTATTTTACCTCCACAGTACTCATTTAACTCCTGGTAGCATTTCGTTTTCATTTCTATTATCGGATGTTAGAAACGTACGGCAATTTTAGACGATGCTATTTGATTAGCACTAACTTACAACTACTCTGAAAATGTTAGTGATCATGATGAATCAGCAGCTTAATGGACTATATGCGTTATAAGTCCAACTTCCATCCACCATCCGAAGTATATTTAGTTTGGAAAACGCAAACATTGTCGAGATATTAGTCTATTCAACCCACATAGTATAAAAAGTATGAAGAACAAATCCATACAAGTAATTAACTTGAATTTATTATGTATAAGATATCCATTTGATCGAGACGTATTCTACGTTGTTTAACTAGTCAGTTTACACAAAACTGATAAGCTATTATAGTTTAATAAGCCTCATTGTAAACATTTCTGTTATCATCAACAATCCAGACAATTATCTATGTTCTTTTGTAATTCACCACTGCGATATGTATTATTGCTATTCAAAATATGATGGTACTTGAGTATTTGCCTCATCATGTATACGGTGTTTAGTCTAAGTATTCAAGATAACACTTGATAGATAAACAAAGAATATATATATATATATATATATATATATATAATTAAAATACTAATATATGTACGAAGAATATTCTTTGCAATAAATTCTCTTTAGGTTCCACAATTACACAATTTAAATTTAAATCCCGATATTTTAGTTTGGTTTTTCAGTTAGTCTAAAATAATGATGAGTCCTAATCAGGGGTTTTGTATGAACTTTGCTTTTCCCTTTATTCTTAGATTAATTAGGATTCTCGGTTAACTAGTTCAGACTGACGTAATTACAGTAAATCTTCTACAAACCTTTGTTTATAATTTCTGCCGATTAGATAAATTTACTTTGAGAAAAAGTTGTAAATGTTGTTTTTACAATATTTTGGTTGTGATCCAAGCAATTAGGCACTAGAGTTTCAACCACTGTATTATATATCCAAATTTGTATCCATGTTTGTTTATTCCTTACTCTCAGCATGTGTTACTTAGAATCTACTGTATTATATTTGGATATTAAATAAATTGTTTTTAAAATTCACCTCTTATCATTTGGTTGGTTTTATTTGACTGTTACTATCATTCTTTACTCTCATTTATGTTAAAGACAGGTACAACATACGAGCCAGTTGAATCTTTTCCTAACTCAAATGGTAATTTGTCTTCATCTATAACATACAAACGAGTAGTTGAGCATGTGGAACAAACAAATATCCTAGGTGAGATACATTTTCTCTGTTTGTCTTTAGTAAGATGCTAGTATTTTATCGACCTTTCACTACATGGATGAATCCCGACCGTTGCTGCTACCTTGACGTAGTGGTCGGGCTTGCCTATCGTGATGAAGCAATCGAACTATGCTGGCTGGAAAAATCGTTCCTCGAGGTCCTACCATGCCAGACAGGTAGGTTGAAGAGCGGTAAGACTAAAAGCAGCAATCCCAAGGTCCGAAGTCGTACTGCCGACTGTACAGAGGTGTGACGGCAGTAAGGTGTTTCCTTCAGACAACCAGCATGACAGCGATGCTGCCTTCCTACAAGGAGGGGTGGGATTAGAAAAGGTCGACCCTAAAAATGCACACCTCGCCTTATCCCACGGAGTTCCGTCTCTGGCGGTAAGGTCCTTTGAAGAACGGAGCTAACACGTCAAAAATCCCCCACAAAAAGGCCGTGCATGACCGGCCTCAAGCAGATGTCCCTTGGGCACTGCGGTCACGCACCCAGGTCGTTAAGACCAACACTAATCCAACTTCTTTTTCAGGTCCCTCAAGAAATACCCTTCCACGGTGTGGGCAGCCGGGAAGTGATATTAGCCCTCATACCCGTAACAGCACATGAGACCAAGTTGGTCACTTTCAAATCCTTCCTACACCTCCTAATAACTCTCTTATCTCCATGACTAACCCTTCCCACGTCCTTTTATCACCTCGCACCGCTAGGGCAAACGATTTAAATACACGGAACGTTATTCCTGGCCTCCTGAAATGACGCTTTAAACTACATATAGGAACTTTCAATGTCCGAACATTATGCCAAATAGGACAACAGGCTTCCTTAGCTAGGACTCTAGTATCTTACACCATCGATGTGTGCTGCGTCTCCGAAACGCGCATACAAGATCCGAGTAGTGTCATTCATTTGACCGCACCTAATCAAAATAAAGAACCATCTCGATACACGCTTCGTGTATCTGGAAGCCCTGATGCTGCTTCCCGTGGCCTCTCTGGAGTAGGTATAGCATTAAGTCTTAGGGCTGAACTAGCTCTTTTAGACTGGATCCCAGTAGACAGTCGTCTATGCGCTGTCCGACTAAACGGATCACTAAGGACTCGGAAAGATAGAGAAACTCGTCGTTGCCTCTTAGTCGTCTCTGCCTACTCTCCCACTGACTGCAGCTCAGACGATATAAAAGATGAGTTTTACAGGGAACTTTCTGACCTTCTCCGAAAAGCTGGGCGTTCTGATGTAGTAATAGTGGCTGGTGACTTTAATGCTCAAGTAAGTAAACTAAGTGAAAGGGAAAGACACCTGGGTGGATCCTACGGTGTCGTGGCTAAAAGAACAGATAATGGCGACCGTCTGTTGCAACTGTGTTCAGATAACCGCCTATTTCTTGCAAATACCAACTTTAAGCACGAGTAAAACCATCGTTTGACATGGCGACCCCCGAATTCGTTCCAACCTTGGACCCAAATAGATCACATCGCTATCAGCCACCGATGGAGGGGCTCGATAGAAGACTGTCGCTCATTCTGGAGCACATGTTTAGACTCAGATCATGCTCTAGTGCGAGCACGTATATGTCTGCGTCTTACTGGACGTAGGAAAGACACTGCAGGGAAACCTCTTAGGGTTCTACTTAATGATAAGCAAGCTAAGAATATATTTCAGGAACAACTGGAAAAACAGTTAGGCAGCCATGTAAGTTGTGTCCACCCCGAAGCAGCGTGGAATGACATCTGAAAAGCTGTAGAAACAGCAGTGATATTTGCTGATAAGGTAATCCATAAGGTCAGGGAGAAACAATGGATCTCGGCAGCATCTACCGCACTGATAGATGCTCGAAAACTCATCCCACCTGGCTCTGAACATAACGAAGAGCGGAGTCAGCTTAAGCAAAGGCTAATAAGAAGCCTACGCAATGATCGTGAACAGTGGTGGTTAGCGAAAGCAATAGAGATGGAAAAGGCAGCGGCAATAGGTAACAGCAGACAGCTATTCAGACTCGTTAAAGAAACCGGCATTAGGAACCCAACTATTAGCGAAACTATCTCAGACAAAGATGGGCATATCATTCATTCTCAATCCAGGAGATTGGATCGATGGGCAGAACACTTTAGAGATCAGTTCAACTGGCCTTCAGCCACACTTCAATTACCCACGATCCCCAGTCGTCCTGAATGGCAAATTGAGGTAAGTCCTCCAACTCTCTACGAGGTTGAAAAAGCTATAGGAAATCTAAAGCGAGGGAGAGCTGCAGGCCCTGACAGGTTTATCCCCGAGATTTTTAAGGATGGTGGTCCAGTACTAGCAACGAGATTGACTGAGGTCTTAGGTAGAATCTGGGAACTGGACATAATTCCATCTGACTGGTCCCAATCACTGATTGTGCCAGTCTATAAGAAAGGACAAAAGTCCTCCTGTGACAACCACAGAGGGATCAGTTTGAATAATATAGTGTCTAAAATATTAGCTTCAATAATACTCGGACGCCTAACCAAAGCTCGTGAAGAGCAGACTAGAGAGAACCAGGCTGGTTTTCGACCTGGACATGGTTGCATAGACCAGATATTCACTCTACGTCAGGTCGTAGAACATAGACATACATTCAGACGTCCCACAATCGTAGTATTTCTCGACCTTAAGGCGGCATTTGACTCCGTTGATCGTGAGGTTCTATGGCAGTGTTTGTCACTGAAAGGAGTACCAAAGAAGTACATTAACCTCACAAAGGCTCTCTACTCGAACACAACTGGTCGAGTTAGAGCCTATGGCGAACTGCCATCAGAATTGGTTACCTCAATTGGTGTCTGTCAGGACTGTCCACTCCCTCCATTCTTGTTTAACTTTGTCGTTGACATGCTTTTAGAGATATCACTTTCATCATCTCAATCTCCTGGAGTTGAACTTTTACCGGGAGGCTCACTCGTTGACTTAGAATACGCTGACGACATAGTTTTATTCGGTGAAGACGCTGACAAAATGCAGTCTTCTGACCACTATAAGCAACAATGCATGCATGTTCGGGATGCGATTCTCTCCCTCGAAGTGCAAAATGTTACTTCAGGATTGGGTTGCATCGACACTTGAACTAATGATAGGGAGTGAAGTAGTTGAGCGTGTTGACAGCTTCACTTATCTTGGGAGTCTCATCAGCCCTTGTGGTCTGGTGTATGACGAAACCTCAGCACGGATACAGAAGGCTCGTCTAGCTTTCGTCAACTTGCGCCATTTACGGCGTAGGCGAGATATCCGTCTAGCAACAAAAGGACGGGTTTACTGTGCAGAAGTCCGTTCCGTTCTACTTTATGGCAGTGAAACATGGATGATAAGAGTAGAGGATATTCATAGGCTGCTAGTGTTCGATCATAGGTGTCTTCGACGCATTTCTCGTATATCCTGGGACCACCGGGTAAGTAATGCAGTTGTTAGGAAACGGGTACTAGGTAAGGATGGCAAATCGATTGACGAAGTAGTGAAACTTCATCAGTTGAGATGGCTGGGACATGTGTTACGTATGCCCGACCACCGACTGCCCCGACGTGCAATGTTTCATGGTGTAGGAGTAGGTTGTAAGAAAGCTAGGGGCGGCCAGACCAAAACGTGGCATAAATCAATGAAGTCATTGACGATTGGACTGAGCCATGTTGGTAGGTGTAGACTACCTGGTTGGGATTCGCGAGATGATAGCAACCGATGGTTAGAGACCTTAAATGACATGGCTCAAAATCGTGTGCAATGGCGAAGGTGCATCCACTCTTTGTGTTCTACCAAATTCTAATCTTCTGAATTCCTCATGTCCCTATCCTTTTTCTCTTTCCAAATTTATTTCACCGTAGTATACTCCTTCAATAATTTCTTCAAACCCTTATCTTTCACATAATACTTATACTCTTCTATTTCTACCACTATGGGATTTGAATCGACAACTTCATCTCCGTGCTAATGTGGTATGGCAACTCGAACTGATGTACGTACGTACGAAGTTCTATGTTGTAACTGACTGACTGACATGGATGAATAACGTTCAAAAAAGTACCTAAAACCAACTATTATGTCTAATTTATTTTTGTGGTAAATTTCTTAGTGTGTTTTTATTTGAATGTGTTTATGTATGAATGGTCGTGTTTTGATGAACGAATTATACCAATCATGGAACTTCGTTTTTGTTCTATACTTAAAATTTCTTCGAACCTTGCAATGAATTTTTAATTGTAAACTAATTCGTATGTACCCCACATCTTTGTTTTCTTTTTCATTTTTGTATTGGTTGTTGATACATCCAGCTGACGAGTCCGAAGTAGGACGTCAAGTGCGTCCTGGATTCCACTGGTAGCCACCATCCATCTCTGTTTATAAACCTTGTTTTTGGTTGTTATTCGGGAGCCATAAAATATTCGTATTGTTCAGAAATTCTCAGTAACTATCTAAGATTGTATTGAAGTGTTAGGTTTGATTTAAGCATTTTTAGACTACGCATCTTGTTTTAACTTTTCGTCTTTTAATGTGCACTATGATACATAACAGACAGACTAGATTTGAATAAACTACCAAAAGACTATTGTGTATATACCTGCTGTATTTCAAAAAATATAATTCAAGTTAGGTATAACGCTCTGAATAGGTTTTATTACATCTGTTGAATCGAAACATGTATCATATACGCGTTTTTCTGTGGAATACTTAGCTTAAATTTCCGATCTAATACTGTTTTATTCAAGCCTAAAGGTAAAGTTGCATTGTTCAACGAAAACCTCCAATCCTGTTGGGCTGTAAGATTCATTCAATATTCGAATTAACTACCCAGTATAAAGTTACTTTTCACCCGTTCCGTATAAAATATTGCAGCCGAAATACCTCAATAATTATTCGGTGCGTAACAAAGACTCGTGAACTGAAAACACGAGAAAATCAGGCTGGCTTCAGACCCGGTCGTGGCTGTATCGACCACATATTCGCCATTCATCAGATCTTAGAACACAGGCATGCTTATCGGCGTCCAAAAATGATATTTTTTTCTTCACTTAAAAGAAGCATTTGATTCTGTAGACCTAGAGGTTCTGTGACAGTATCTGTCATTGAAGGGTGAGGTATGGCAACTCGGACCGATGCATATGTGTGCCTGGTCCTATGTTTTAGCTGGCTGACTTACTGGAATTCGACCAATAAAGAGCTATGCATGAATTACGTATACCATTTAAGTACACGTGTGGTGTATGCAACTTATATCTGTCTATATAAATAGTATGTCACACTGGTCGGAAGTGGAAAAGCTGGCAGCAGAAGGCTAAGAAGATCAAACTGAAGATAATAGAAATGGGAACAGAAAGGAATTGTGAACTGGAAGAATTATGCACAATGTGAAGGACAACTGATGGAAATCCCCAACAAAATATTCAGTGTTTGATTCTCATATTTTACCAAGATACTCTGTAATTTTGTATTAATTAAAACTTGGTTGTCCCCACGTGAGTGTTTGTTCACAACACTCGAAGTAAATCCAATAGGACGTAATAGAAACGTAGTAAAATACCAAATCCCTTAATCATTAAGGCATTGTTTCAAGTGAATAACAATGTTGAACAACTTCACATGATTCATGCATTTGCAATACATTTGTTACTTGACTGTATTCACTCTTCTACTTTTTATTATTGCTATTAGTAATGCGACAACGTCATTTTGTTTTTATTCAATTTTTTTTCTTTATAGGATTGTTTACCACTAGCCTTGTTATTGGTTTAGTTGCTGGTTCTCGAAGGGAAAAATTACGTCCATTAATTGCAATGTTTGAGTGTATTTCCGAAATAATGACCATAATTATTGAGTTTATTATCAAGTGAGAATTTTATTTTTGATTCCATATATTTGAGTTTTTAACAAAACATTGTTCATTTTTTATTAAAGAAATTTATAGTCTTAATCGAAATTTGTAATCATTTATAAAATGACTCGCAAACAGAATACTGGATTTACTGTCGTCAATTTTAAATCTCATGAAACCTGTCCGTAAACTATCCAGGTAGATTTTTTATATTAGCAACAACATGTAAGTAACTATCCATTATTTAGTTTTTGGTGAATTCATGTTATTATCTTAGGATTCAGGCTAGATAGTTCTCGAAAATCAATTTGAAAAAGCGTATTCTGCATGTAATGGTAACAATTTCAGTTGACGTTAATTAGCTTGTTGATATACGTTGATCTAACATACAACAATGGCTTATCTTTAACACATCTTCAATTTAGTTATCAGTCAATGAAAATAATACTAAGTGTAGTACAAAAAATCTAGATATGTACACAGCCAATTGGTCAAGGCTCCACCGGAATATAACGTTTGAAATTATTATTATTCTACTTAGTTAACAAAAGTACATTGCCAATCACTTGATGAAGGAATGATTAAACATTTGAAACACTATTTGTAACCACTGAATTGTATAGTTTCAAACCAGTCCTGTTGGTCAATGAGTCAAGTAGTGCCGCTAAATGCTTCACAGAATCTATGTAATCCAAAATCAAGTGCAAGAAATTCTACTGAATCCCAATCAATGTATTCAATAGTTAATTAAGATTTTTCTTTAAGAATTTTTAATATCTTTTTGAAGTTAGAACTGTTATTTAACATTTTATTTAGATTGCTCCCAATCGCCATGATAAGTTTAATCGCATATGCAATTGCACGAATGGAAAGAATTGGCGATAATTTTGTCGCATTAATTCTGTTCGTAGCATCGTCAATTACATTTCTTTCAATCATTGTACTTGTGATCATGCCAGTATTTTACTTCATAGCAGTAAGACGAAATTTATTTCGCTTCTATTGCTGTTTATCTGAGCCTATATTGACTGCTTTCAGTTCGACCAGTTCGTAAGTTTGTTGTTTGAATTTTTACTATTTTCTTTAAATCTATTGAAATTCATTATATTTTTATAGGACAAAGGAGTTAAAGTTACAAAACGATTTAAAGCAGTCTCCTCAGACTTTCGACTAGTTATTCTATGAAATTCAACTATTTACTAAGTATTAACTTCACATTTTGTTGATTCGTCTGGTGAAACATCTTGTATAGTTTCACAGAAGCTTGTATATAAACTTAGCTGATGTGTAGTTTTCAATCACTAACATGTAACTATCTTTATAAGACTAGTTTATAGTATATTCTTAAGATTTCAGCTAAAAAGCTAAGCATTAAAGATGTTTCAAGTCATTTCATATTGGAGACGGATTCCTATAATACCAAGTAATCAAAATGGATTTACACTTCACTTGCATGTTTATGATCCTTTGGATTAATCTTAACGTTTTCTCAGTCAGTCAACTACAACGTAGGACCAGGCACACATATGCATTGGTCCAAGTTGCCATACCTCATTAGCACAAAAAGATGAACACCGAATTCATACAAGTAGTTAATTTAACGGTGGTAATATATAAAAGAAAGATTGTGTGTAAGGATATAGTACAGGAAGAAAGAATTAATTCGTAGAAAGAAAGATGTAAAGCAACTTTAATCTCAAGGTTTAAAGGAAAACAAAGAGTGTATACACCTACACCATATTGATCGATTCTGAGCCATGTCACACAGAGTCTCCAACCATTGGTTACGCTAATCACCTGGACCGCAACCAAGTCTGCATCTACCAACATGGCTCAGACTAGAGATTAGTGATTTCAAGCACTGATGCCATGTTTTGGTTTGACCGCCCCTAACTCTCTTCCAACCATCCCCTACACTAGTCAGCATTGCGCATCGTGGTAATCGATGTTCAGGCATACGTACCACGTAACCCAACCATCTCAGTCGATGACGATTTACAGCCTCATCAACTGATTTACCATCATTCCCTAATACCCTGCGTCTAACTTTACTATAACTTACCCGTTAATCCCAGCAGATGCGAGCAATATTTCTAAGGCATCTTTGGTCAAATACTAGTGACTTAGAAGTATCTTCCACTCTTAATGACCACGTTTCGCAGCCGTAAAGTAGAACAGAGCGAACTGCTGCGCAGTATACTCAACCCCTAATCGACAGACGGATATTACGCCTTCACCATAGGTGACGTATGTTGGCAAAAGCCAAACGAGCCTTTTGAATCCGTGCAAAGACTTCGTCAGACACCAACCCATTAGGGTTGATCAGACTTCCGAGATAAGTGAAGTTGTCGACGCGTTCGACTATTTCACTCCCTATACTTAGTTCATGTGTTGATGCAGGTCAGTCCTGAAGCAACAATTTGAACTTAGAGGAGGAGAAACGCATTCTAAACATCCTTTCATTGTTACTCAGTGCTATCAAAAGACTGCGTTGAGTAACAACGTCTTCAACCCCCCCTAGACAGGATGTGTGCATACACACCAACGTAGTTAAATTCCTGGAATTCCAATTTCCTTCTTCTCACTTTTGTTAAATCATCCCCGCTAAAGTAATTAAACAAACGAGACTGCTTTAAAAAGAGCTTTAAATACATGTTCAACTGAATAACTACAATTTTTTCAAATATTTGTTGCTTTCAAGATTAACGGAGTTATTCAGTAATCACACTGTAATTGGTTTTAAATTGTATCACTCACTTTGCAACCGTCAATTTTATTTGTGTTTTTGAAATTGATTTGACAGCTGACAATTACACTCCATAAATCAGCGGTTTAACCTTTAAGCTAGTTCAATAGCTTGATAAAAATACACATGCTTTGTCTTTCATTATACAACCCCCAAAGTTCCATTTCCTGTCTTTTCCTTTACTTCCTCGCTACTGTTAGTATCGTTTTTTCAGTCTTGTTTATTGATTTACCTTTACTCCATTTATGGAAATCATGACTACTAGCCCTAAAACGCTCATACTATATACTGTACCTTTTATCTATCTATCTGTTAGCTGCACATAGATTGGATTAAATCATGTTCTGTAAACGATTGATTTAGCGCATGTTGATTGGCTAATTCTTATCCAGTCAGCGCTAGTCGATACTTGGAGAAGATTCTAGAATCTTCTCATGTAAAAACTATATATATATATATACTAACGTATCTCTTATTGCGCTTCTTCCTTCCATCTACCCTTGTTATTCAGTATATAATTTCTTCCTGTTCAACCGTGTTCTGATTTGGGAACTTGTCGAGTGAATCAGTGTCCAAGAATACTAAGCAATAGGAATTTCTGGGTTGTAATAAGAGGAAATATAACACTATCTTATCATTCCAGCTACATCACTTATTCACTGGTTCTTTGACATGGCCGGTTTTTGTCTGTGTTTAAAATCCCCAACCACATTGTCTTTTAATTGCAGACTAAGGTGGAACACATTGTTATTCAAGTACTTGTTGTATCCAACTGTGAACATACAGTGGCGAATGTAAAATGAGTATTATTTTTTACTTGTATTTCATCAGTTAATCTATCATGCTGTTATTATTCCTTAATAAAGTGAATGGACAGGTTCACTCAGACACCTTGCTTCTGATCATTGGAATAGACATCAATGCATCACTTCACAAAATGGCATATATAAAATATTTTTGTCTTTAGTTTCCAAATAACAGTCTCCCAGTATGTTTAAGAGATAAAGGTACCGTGTTACGAAACGTCGTCATAATGACAAAAAGATGGGTATGAGCGAGTACGGACATCCTAAATAGTTTCTACCTAAATCTACTTAAACATTCATTTAGATGAAATAATAATTAAATTTATCAAAATCTGAATGTATCCTCTACACTCAACTTGCCAGATTGTACTTTAGCGTTCAGTCTTTGGCAGGTTTTCATTTAGCCTGAAGGTACCTTGTGTGCTGGAGGATTGTGAGAAACAGTATATGATAGAATCTGTAACAGAATAAAATAAGAGAAAAAGTGAGCCGACAATTCAGTGGGTTTATATAATGCACTTAAATTTAATAATGAAATTGATCGATAATAATCAGAATTAACACAAATGTGAAATTAAAATAATCTGATAATCGAACCTAGAAGTTGATAGCCTACAGTTTCTAATGCATTATAGTACAACACGTCAATTTAACCGCTTCTAATAAATTTAAATATTGTTTTCCGTTAAAAAATATCTTCCAGTTTAATTGCTCTTCCACAACTTTTTCAAGTTTGTGATCGTTATGGAATTGAGTCAGATTTGGTACGAACTGTAGCACCGTTTCTCACAAGTTTCAATGCAAATGGATCTGCTGCATTTATTGCATCTGCTGTTTGCTTTGTAGCCCAATTAACTAAACAATCTTTAAATGCTGGTCAGTTTATTGCAATTGGGTAAGTTTAAATATTTTTCTTTTATTGTTAAAAAGTCACAAAATCACTTTCATTAAAAAAAAACAAATATGATAGCTGCACACAAACCGCCATCGTTATAGTTACATTTTAATAAAATAATGACTTATTTTATTTGTTGTATTTCTAAAATTTCTTGAATGTAACTTCAGTCTAAAGATTGAGAAGCAACTCTAAACTTTATATATCTCATATGTTTTCGTTTTTGTCAGTCCAAGATTGCATGTATAAAATATGTAGTAATAAATACTAGTCATGGCCATGTCAAATCTCCACATTATCAACTAAGTTTTGATAGTGTGCATCTCTTATTAATTACCTATTAACTGAATGATTGAACCATTGTTAAATTTTATGAAGTAGCATATTCTTTCGATTTTACAACACAGAAAAGTACTTAACAAAGAATAAAAAATGGAAAAAATATGTCCGGAAAGAATGGATGAATGAAAGAGGTTTTAGTCATCCGTAAGCACAAGTTGTTAAACTTGTATTTGTACATTTTAGAATTAGTTCCATAGCTTAGCTGTATTGTGACTTCTTCCGCTATCCCTTTCTCTCTCTCTCTCTGTAGGCAATATAGAAAGAGTCGAGATACATATCAACTGGACTGATACAACACATGTTTCAGTTCTACCAGTTAATACACACCTACAACAAATTTAGTCTCCTTACTCAAATCCCATTTAATTACTGTGTATACTGTCACACAAAAGTATTTGTAACCTTTCGATGTCACAAAACTCTAATGATCATCTTTCAAGGTTCACCATTATGTTTCATACTTGACCTTCATATCCAAATAAATATCTTGGAAATAACACAAGTAATGTAAGTTATTAAGTGTCAGTTGGTATTTTGCCATGATTACCGAGATTCACTTGATACGTAGATCAACAGAGCTCCTTTACTATTCGAATTTAACTGAGATGTTGATAAATTTAAACACATCTTCCTAATTTTTTCTAGACGTAGGTAGAAATCTGCTTTGCCGTATAATAAGTTATCTAATAGGTGTGAAATTTATGTCAAATATCCTCAATTTTTTAATCTAAATTGTCCATGTAACTTTCAATTTTCCCACTTTATCTAACAGGACAATGTCTAATTTGTTTCTCTGAAAGAGTACTAAAACTCTAAACAAATTATTGATTTTTGAGATTTAGCAACTTTATTAATTGCTATCATGGCTTCCTTTTTTTCTCTTTTTACATGAACAGTAACAGACCACTATTTCTGTTTATCTAATTCGATCATGTCTAGGTTTTAGACTTGAGGATAAACATAACTCAATATATCTAACAGTGTGTAGATTCATTATACTACCAAACAACTAAGTTCACTCAACTAAAACTGGTTACTTTCTACCACTGTACTGAGCATAACTTTCTAAACGAAAAATTAAAAAATCATTGCACAAGTGAATAATTTGTTTTTTAGGTCATTTATTTCTTCATTGTTTTGGAAAAGTATACCACTTTCCTCTGTTAATTAAGACTTCAGTATACTGTATTATTTTATATCTTGATAATATTCACTAGAATTTTATCGATAACTTCAAACTCTATCGTGTAGAAATGTGATGCAAGACATTGAGCTTCATCTCTCCTCAGTTACTTTAATGCGATGTAAAATATTTTCATGATAAATCAATTGCGTATGACAAATGGCGTAAGCCTGGTATTCGTCCTTGAATCCCTTGTACTTAAAATAAATTATCGAAATACCTACTTTTGTATGCGTAATTTCCAAGCGAAATAAAAAAGTTATCTGGCCACCTGTTCTGCTTTTTTGATATTCACTTATTGGACTTGTACGCAATGATTAGTTGGCTACCTTTACATTCGTCAGATGAACTTTAGTAATTTTATCCAGTATTTTCGCTATCACAATACTATTATTGACAACTGAGTAGCGATTCTATCCTCCTACCTAATTGCTTTTTTATTTACAAGATCCAATATCGGTTATTCACTTCAACTCGCCCAAGAATTTTAGCGAGCTTTTGTCTTACCTTTCTAGTCATAACAAAGCAATCAGTCAGTTAGTCATAAACGATGAACCCTAATATATATAGTCTTAGCTGTCACAATACATCAACGTAGCAAGATAAAATCATCAAAATTTATTCAAAACCTATATAGTCAGTAGTAATAGTAGTGGTAGCACCAGTGATGATAAAAAAGATTAGGCATAAAGAAGAAAGAATGAGGTCGATTAACAAAATGTATAAAACTGTTTTGAACTCAGAATCTAAGGGAAGTTAGTGAGTGAATGGATCTGAATTTTTGAGATTTCGTCAGGCAATCAAACCTCTAGGACTAGTGAAGCTTCCAAAATAGGTGAGTGGTGGATGCGTCCAACAATTTTACTCCCAACCACTAGTTTAGGGTTTGATACCAACGAATATTTTACAGTTATGAGAAGAGAAACGCATAGTAAACTCTCTTGAATAGTTGCTCCGTGCAATCAGAAGACAGAGTTTGTCAGTTTTCAACCAGCCAAACTGTCATCGTTACCTTCCAAATCGATAAGTGAACTTCCTGGCAGACCAATTTCTAAAACGGTAAGAGAAAAAAGCGTTATCTGTGAAAATCTTCTTATGACAAAGTTAAATAAAAATGTGAGAAACTATGATAAACAACACTTGAGAGTGACAATTCCGATGACAGTTTGACATAAGCTGTAACTTGACCAAATAGTGTTCGAATAAAAATGAGCCTTCACAAGATATATGTATTGCTTCAGTATATCATTTAATGACATGTTAAGAGGTCGGTATGCCTTGAACAAACAATGTCATATTTAATATATGATATTCATAATCATCTCTATTTTATTGAAATTTGTCTTATAATTCTAATTTATATTTGTCATATTTAATTGTGTTTTGTTTTGCCTTCCTCTGAATTTAGATTTTTATCCGGTGTCAATGTGATGGCACTGCCTGCAATTCCAAGTGCAAGTATCATAACTGTTATTCTAATAACACGTGCATTTGACATTTCTGAATCTACCTCCGTATCATTACTTTTTGTTACTGAGTTTATCGCGTAAGTATTAGAATTTTGTATGTATGTGTGTTCAGTTTCAGTTTTATTTTTCTACATACAACCATCGCTATCTTGAATGTAGTGGTTAATGTTCTTAATTTTAGTAGTTATAACTCTTAGTTAGTTGATGTTATAGTGCTCCAGCTATAGATAACAAATGATCTATAAAGAATATCTTCATTTCAAATTAATGCGTAATAACCATTTTGTATTAATCAGAACTATTAACATCAACCTTTTGTAAACAAAAAACTAGAAATAATCTCCATCAAAAATTGAGGAAACCTCGGGTACTGTTGCCATTCCTGAACAAAGAAACGCTTATAAAAAAACGTGGAGCTATGCCTCAATGATCAAGGCGTTCGGCTTTCAGCCAATAACGTGCGTATTCAAACTCCACTTTACTTCGGTTTGATTAACCGGCTCCCATACTTAAAGTGTGTTTTTAAAGTTAAGTCCACGAAGCAATGAGTATGTGAAAATATGCATAATCTTGAACTAAAACTCTTAAATTAGTATAAATGGTCAACTTCTTAAAATAATTTGTACAGTTCAATAAAAGTTAGTTTACTGGACAAAATCTAAGATATCATTTTTGAACTTTTTAATTTCTATCACCATCTTGTATTTCTGTTTATCTGCATTGCTATGATTACATACACGTAAAAGAATTTGTGTGCTTGTTCTTTTTCTGCGGAAAATATTATCTTCCGCAAACTTTTATTCATTGTTTACAAAATAAAATCTAACAGATAAATAAAAGTAAACGTTATGTATGTATGATTATATTGTTACGATCAATATCTCTTTAGTAGGTCATCAGTCAATAAAGAAAGCACAGTGTTACCAATGACTTTCATATTCTATGCAATGCGTTTTTTTCTTTGAATAAAAATTTTACTCTTATTGACGACAGCGCCACCATCATAGCTCGTAATTGCAAATAAAATATGAAGTGATTTCTGTTACATGATCATTATAATTGCAGTAATTTATTAAAGATCAAAATTTCTTTTGAATAATCAATCACAGAGAATATAATTAAAATTCCTATATCATTAGTTTGTTTTACTTTAACTTAATTTAAAATCTGACACAAATTTATGGTGTACTATTGTCTTTTACGATTAACTGTAGAGTAGCTGAGGGACAGCTAAACTGTTCACTAAAGTGTTCCGCCCATCGTTCTAAACGTCTGGACTGAGAGCAGATAAGAGTCTTGTCTTTTTCCAAGATTGTCTCTCTTACAATTGAATTCTTAATTCCGGTTTCTTTTATTAGTCTGAAAAGCTGTTTGATGTTAACTACAGACACTGCCTTTTCCATCACTTTTGCTTTCGTCGCCCACCACTGCTCACGATCGTTCCTTAGACATTTTGTTAACCTAGATCTGATTTGCTTTCGCTCTTCATCGCATTCAGAGCCTGATGAGATGAGCTTACGAGTGAGGTTTAGGTAGACCTGTGACAGTGTTTCGCTCACTAGAATCGTTGTCTGTGGTGACACTTGAGGAAGAAACTGAAAGAGGTAGTTTAGTGTTAAGAGTCGATGTAGGAGGAATAATGGGAATGGAAGAAGGAGATTAATTATGAATACAGTGGTCTTGAGTACTGTTAGAGGTATGAGGGTGGTTATCACTTCCCGGTTGCCCACATCGTCGAAGGGTTCTTCCAAAGGTACCTGAAAAAGAAATTGGATAGGAAGTGGTCTTAGTGACTTGAGAGTGTGACTGCAGTGCTCAAGAGACAACTGCTCAAGGTCGGTCACACACGGACTTTTTGTGAGTAATTTCCGTGTTAGCTCCGTTCTTTAAAGAACCTTACCGCCGGAGACGGGTATCCATGGAATGAGGTGAGGTGTGCATTTTTAGGGTCGACGTGTTCAGGAAGGCAGCATCGCTATTATGCTGGTTGTCTGAAGGAAACACCTTACTGCCGACACACCTCTGTACAGTCAGCAGTAAGACTTTGCCTTAGGACCTTGGGTTTGCTGCTTTTAATATTACCGCTCTTCAACCAACCTGTCTTGCATGGTAGGACCCCGAAGAACGATTGTTCCGGCCAGCATAGCTCGACTGTTTTATTGCGATAAACAAGCCCGACCACCATGTCAAGGTAACAGCAACAGTCTGGAACCTCTCCTGCGGTAGAAATTGTAGATGATTACTGCTCATCTATGAACCCTTACTAATTTACAGACTTCTTTTGTAAGAACGTATGTAACTTATGGGGATTCTGGAATAAGATAGCTAAACTATAAATGCACTGACTGTATTAATCTTTTTAATGATGAACGCATCGTTTTCAGAGTATGTTACCACTGACTAACTAATTGATCAGCCAAAAAATGTTATTTATGACACAATATTTAACCAAACTGGCATAATTGAGTTAGAAATGTCTAATCAAGGATAATAATGAAACTTCATGGTGTAATTAATAATTTTTCACTTCCGTCTATCATACCATGTTGATGCAGCACCTCGTATTTTCCTGTTTGTGTTAATGATATAATACATTGTTTCTGTTCGGTCTTCCAACATCCTCTTCCAAATTATTCAGACTTTTAAATATCATTCAATACATAAAATACAGAATGTGATTTAAGCATCCTGATTAATCTTCTTTAAAACTAGTCGTTTAACTGTCTTAATAAATACTACTAATAATCCTACGACATCAGCTGTTAATTCTTGACCGTTTCCTCGTTTACTTTGTCTCAAGTGACATCGTCTCATTTTTATAGAATAACAATGACGATGAATTTAAACACAACCAGTTTTTAAAAAAATATCAAACGGTATTTGGTTAGTGCATAACATTGTGCTATATATACTTGTAATGTTTTTTTCATCACAAACTGACTTCATCCAGAAAAAAAGAGCACTGGATATCTATTTCGTCCTTGGTTATAACCCCTTATCAGGAAAGCACTTTCTCTGCAAGCTATCTATTTCATTGGTATACCCTTCAAAACAGTAAAGAAAGATCACCCAACCAACATTCCTATCATAGTGTTCATTTCGAAGTTCTAGAATGTTGTAGCCATTGAAAAATAATGCGTTAATTGTCAGTTTAGTTACTTCAGTTCTATGTTAGATTATTTCATTCTTTGATATATTCACTCACTAGTCAACTTTGCATATTCAGTAGTCGTAATATCTACTAGGGAATTAAGAAATGTGTCAGTTGTAAATGAATAACATTTTAATATCATAGGTGATTGGTGACTGTATCAACATAAGCTGTAATGAATGAATACGTTATTTTCAATTAAGGTAGAGCGGTTTGAAGAAAATATTCAATTTTGAATTACTTTTCATGAATTAGCATCAGTTAGAGAGCCTTTAAGAAATCCAGAGGGGATTAGATAGTTGTTTTATACTAGCCTTGGATCTGTCAGCTCTGTTAACCCACAAAACTTCCTAATGAACTCTAAACCTTCAAATCTCACTGTTGACTCAATACTTTTATATCATTATGCTGAAATCCAATGGTTCGTATTCCCAACCTCATTAATTTCGTGATTATCATCAGTGATATGTTTCACCATTGATATAGTTATAGACGACTGGCTTTCGTTTTTCACTAGAACTTCGAGAATCCATCTCAACACTATTCACTAATGTGAAAACATTTGTGAAGAGTGATTTTCCAATGCCTACTTGTTTTCGATGACTTTACAACTAGTGTCAGTTCATGGTGAAAAACAATTTTATTATACTGAATTTACCTCTATGATAGACGGACGTTTTGTCCTATTGTGGGACTCCTCAGCAGTACGCATCCACGATCCTGCCCCGCGAGATCCGAACCCAGAACTTATCAGTCTCGCGCGCGAGCGCTTAACCTCTAGACCACAGCCGGTCCTGGGTTTGAATTTCGCGAGGCGGGATCGTGGATGCGCACTGCTGAGAAGTCCCACAATAGGACGAAACGGCCGTCTAGTGCTTCTAGGTTTTCCATGGTGCTCTAGCTTCAAATGACTCATGAATTCAACTATAAAACTTCATATTACGCATAGCGGCACTTCACCGTACGACATTCCGTACATTTCCAAATCTTGTCGTTAATCAGTTTTTCTTTTCCGAAGTTGGAACCGTTCACTACTAGAAAAATCAGTACTGTTGCTGCTTTTCACACCTTCCACTTCTATTCCGATAAGGCATAAAAAACATAGCCTTTAATGTAGTTTAATACCTTTAAATATATATTGTGTATTGCTTTGGACAAATGTATACTAATTGATTTTATAAACAATCACACTGTAATTACAATTCACTAATCGTAGTTTAGTTCGATATTTTTATGTTTTCTGTCACTTGGAAATGTAGTGAATACCTAACTAAATCGTTTTAAAACGAACTGGCTGCTATTTTTCGTTCATTCTCTTTGAATACTCACCTTTATCTATGTGCATTTTTTATGCTAGCTCTTTTGCATTAGGCCTTTTCAGGATAAAACACGGTAAAAAAAACTCAAAGTCTACACTTCTCTATACAGATTGATATTTTTGCGACTTTAAAAATTAGTGTAATATCTTCATCCGACTAAAGTATTCTGTAAAAATAAACTGTTGATTTATTCTAATCCACCAGATTTTGTAACTATCCGATATGTTAATTTAATAACAGCTGATTGATCCATAATTTGGATCTATTTGTTCTCATATGTTTAAATATCTTAGCAACATATCTTTTAATTTAAAAAAAGTCAAAGTAAATATCTTGATTTATTTTTACAGTTAAATGAATAAACCATCACATGTTTCTAATAAATGCAAGGCAATTTAGTTCGTCCTGAAATTAATTAATCTGTGTTAGATATATTTGTAATAATTAAATTAATTATATGGTCATATTGCTCTGATGGAATAACTAATTACCTGTACATAAACACAATTTAATGTGCTTTCCAAAATGTACAACTTTTATTTATCTTCGTATTCGAATAATACCATTCATGGTGCTACGTAAACAGTTGCGTTAAACATTTAACTAAGTGGTATATTTCTGCAAAATTCAATGGTATTCAAAATTGTATTTCAAATTAATTCTGTTGCATTTTAATTATCATTTATTCTTAACTGATTACTTCAATCAACTCCTAATTTAGTTTGTTTAAATTTCACACATCTTAATTCCTTGGTAAATTTAAATAGAAAAGAACAAGGTTTACAGAATAACGTAAATTCATTATATTTCAAGTCTTCTCATCAGCTGCAAACGACTTAAATTTACAATTATTTATCTTCTTATAAAAAATAGGCTGGTATCCCTTTATCAACAAAATAAAGTTGGAAAAATGTCAGAAACAGGATATGAACAGAAAATATTTAACATTGTAGTTAAGATTAACTAGTATTTATATGTTGAAAACAAAGTCATATAAAGAAGGAAATAATATCATAAATAATAATTAGGCGATGAAGTGGTTTATTATATAACCCAATCACCTAGTCGACATAAAATTAAGGTTTAGCACTGTTAGTGAATGTTAATGGAATCTTTTTTCAAATAGAAATTAAAATAAAAGGATTATGTAATGGGGAGTATTCAAATTTACTCCATTTCTGCATTTTCTACTTCCTGAACTCCTAAAATTTCATTGAACAGTTCGATGTTGAATTCGCTGAAAAGAGACCCTTTTGCTAAACATCATGTTTTTAAACAACTTCTGTTGATTGTTGATAATTGTCTGTCGGACTAATTTAGAAATTTTTCTTGGTTTTATAAATCTTTTTCAAGAATTTGATACATTCATTGAATTTTTACGTTAAGTTATTTCCTGTCACCTATGAACAACTGATACCATTTAATATTTATTTTCTTCATATTATTTTGCTTTAGTGATCGATTACGTACCGTTGTAAATGTTATGAGTCATGGTACTTGTGTTCTATTCATTCATATGAAGTTACACCAGGTGAGTTCGACGTCGAATATTCAAAATCATTTCATTCAAACCACAAAAGTTGTCAGCGATTCAGCATCATCCGACAGTGTATCATAGCTGCTGTTAAACAATTCATTGATCAAAAGAAAATAGTGTTCCGTTGTTGTTGTTGTTTTTTCTTGTCTGTGTTTTATTGTTTTTATTTTCTGTTCACTAAAGTACACCCTTGTATTATTTTGTTTTACCTATTGATCTTTTTGCTGTGATAACTAATTTGTTTAGTTTATGTTAAATAATACCTACCCTTTGTTGTGTTTACCATAGATGTATTTTTATTTCAAGTTTGTGATATTTTCATCAAAAAGACAATTTTTCTAAATCATATTATACGATAAATAAATTCGAATAAAAATTGATGATACTCAGATTAGTTTTTACAAGGTACGAACTAACCAGGGACTTCATTACATAAACTCCTAGCCAGGTTTAATTTTAATTTCAAACTTTCATGAAGATTGTTAAAAGTTTACTTCTTTATTATTTATACTTTTGTCATTTATTTTTTTTAAAATCTTCAAGAATAAACATATGCTGTTTAGTTCATTATTCTATTAGTTTTGTTTGATAAGTACATGTATTTGTTGTTTCTATACTATCATGTAATTTTTTTTTGAATATAGAACAAACCATTGGAATTCTTAACTTCGATGTAACATTAATCTTATTCTATAAAATATAAACATTTATAAGTAGAGTGTTATGGATAAGTTTTCGGTCTCAAGGTCAGTATAACGATGTAATACTTCTTTTTTTTTTAATAGCATCCTGTTCGATTTAACTAGTCAAATTAAAATGGTCTAATATATTTATCTATTGTTACATTAGTTCACAAATTTGAAAAGCTTCAATGAGTATCCGTAAAATTTAATAGAATATTTGTTAAAATAATAAGTTGAGAAAGAAAACCTGCTAAATTGTGATGAATTTTTTTATCCTCATCGAAGTTATAAGTTTTAAGAAATATAAACTCATTATGTCATTTAATCATAATACAATGTGAAAATCACATAATGATTGTCAAGTACTTTTCACAGTATCAACTATATAAACGATGCATAGAATAAGAATTTATTGCGCTTTTTGTTGAATATTTCCTGGATTTCTAGTGATAAGCAGTAACCAGTGGAGTTCTACCAGGTCTGTTGGGAGATATCAACTCACTGAAGACCTTGGTGAATGGTTGCTCAATTTCGTGGATTGGTTGAAATTAGACATTAACACCGTTGGATGCCGGCCAACTAGGTGGTCTAGAGGTTAAGTGCTCTGGCACGAGTCTGGTAGGTCCTGGGTTCGAATCCCGAAAGGCGGGATCGTGGATACGCACTGCAGAGGAGTCCCACAATAGAACGAAACGGCGTCAAGCAATGCTTGCAGGTTTTCCATGGTGGTCTAGCTTCAATTGACTCATGATCTCAACTATATAGAAAAATTACTAAAATCTCCACAAAACCCCCTTCTAAGAATATTTAACAATTAATTTTGCAAAAACGGGCATTACTTATAGCACTTTTTTCTCAATCCAAAAATCATACTGCTTCATATTTGATATTTTGTCCTCTGTGTATCATAAGAAGAATTGAAACAGATTAACCGAAAAATCATCCATAAAATTGTAATAAAAATAGAATTATTGAAACTAGTTGGTTTGATAAAATGAAGATATTTAACCCAATCGTTAAATCCACTTGAAAATTGCTTACAATTTGAATTCTTGATAAATATAAACAAAGCAAGAACAATGCTTTTAGAAACAATTGGATTCATTGTATTTTACCCCGCCTCGCCAACTACAAACACCTTGCAATTACAAGGAGTAGTGTATTTGTAAAAAGATTCTTGATCTACTTTCCTTAGTGAGGCTGAAATGGATGTTCAATACGAAATCGGAAATCATAAGAAGAAGAATAGCAAATAAATTAAGTGATTAAACATGAATAAGATAAGCACATATTTACGAGTTGAAAAGATAAGTTAGACAGAGTATAACAGGTAATGCTATGGTTACTAATAATCACGGTTACAAAAAAGATTACGCAATTAAAATAAGTGGTGATATGTATCAATACCAAGGTTGGACTTGATAGTTTCACATAAATTGAGCATTGGGTATAAAGTTAGTAATAAATATATTTTTGTTATATCCCAATGAGTAGAAAAATTGTATTTCTGACGTTTCGTGACCTAATGTAAGTTACTTCTTCAAAGTAAATAAATAACCGAAATTAAATTAACACACGTTTAAAATTGTAAACTGATCCGTTCTTTTGGTTTGCAAGGTGATGACGTTCTTCTTGCTGTCATTGATTAACAAGCTCCTAGATTGTTTTCAGTTTTTAATTCACCCTTTGAACTTGTTTCATAAATGAACCAACGATTAATGTATTTTGTTGTTCATCAAAGCATTTATCAATTGTATGATAGCATTTTGTATAATATCAAGATGCTATTTGGTTTTATATGTACTGTACAGTATTGTGTAACTCCTAATCTATAAAATTGTTGAAAAAAGTTAAGACAGCTCTTAATTCGTGAATATTGCATCAACCTGACCTCGCTATAGCTATCACATCAGATTTAAGACCAAGTTCCAACAATGTCTGTAGCGTTGATCTAAGTACTACATAATTATAGTAGCTAAGACGATTTTGAATTTTATTCAAGCGACGAGCTATCGACCTATTATTACTTGGAACTGATTCTAAAAGTTGTTTCGATCCAGAATAGTGTACCACTTACTAACCAAAGTTTATGTCGCTTAGGACCTATTTCGAACTATATTCACAATAAACACTGTTGTGCTGTTTGCAAATATTTAATAGTATAAAAAGTATCATGTGACATCAAAAACTTTTTATTATTTCAATTTGAAATGGTCTAGGTTATCCTGTTGTTAATATTTTCGACTGAAATTTAATTAATCCTGGTTGACATATGGGCATCCTATGCTTATTGCCTCGATATAGCCATTATGATACAAGATGATAGACAATAGATCGTATTTGGCTAGCAATGGGATTTATGATGCTCATTCTGTCTACTGCTAGCCACATTCCATCTATTCTATGGTTTTATTATGTTGATAGGGCCTATAAAAATTAGGTGAAACATTTACAGCTTTTCTAAGTCTTGCTTAATAAATTTTTAACTTTCAGCAAAAATAAAATGAATTTCCTGCAGCTCTGTCTCAAAAAAGCTTTTCTTAACTGTACATAGACTTTATTTCTAATAGAAAAAAAAGAAAACTGGATGTAATTACTTACAAAGAAGGGATCATGTGAAATCACTTGAACAAAAGAGAAAAAAGAAATAGTTAAACAGTTATTTTGTTTAATATCCAACAAATTGTATTTAAAGTAAACAAAAAAAGAAAGAATCCATCAAAAAATGGGGATGCGGAAGGAGAGGATGATATATCAGCAAGAAGTCATGGATACGCGCGTATAAAGTTACTGAAATTATTAAAGTTTTTTTGATGTTTTTAAAGTTCCATAATAAAATAAATCCAAGATTGAGTAGGGTCGGATAAATGTGTAAATAAACGTTTGTCTACAGTATTATTTGTTGGATTCAACCAATAATTAAAACAAAAAAGTGAACATAAAGAAAGACTTAAGATATAAATCATTTTTATTGGTTTATTGTATGTAAATGAAAAGAATATCGTGAATATCTATTTAACAAACTGATAAATGAAAAAAAACAACTGAAGCAATTCTTTTATTTACTAGGAGATTCAACTAGTATTCACTGGAATATAAAATAGACGATCTGTTGTAGTTAAAGAGTTTGAATTATTATTATTATTCCTCAGAAGATGATGTTCCTGAGTGTTAACAGCATAATGATGTTGATGTGACTGTTGTAATTGATGCTCCTGATGATGAGGATGAGAATAGTTATGTTGTTGATTAAAAGTTTCATCTTCATAATAACCACTAGTAGTATTATTACAATTATTTAATCGACTTATCATTTGACATGATGATACTGAGGCAAGAAATGAATTATTATCAAGGCACATTGAATCTTTATTGTGTTGAGATAAATTGAATTCAGATGATTGTTGTGGTACAACATTATTACATTCAATTGTTGAAGAAGATACTACAATACCTGATCTAGAAGAACATGAAGGTTCTAAGAATAATTCTTCCGTTGTTGACAAAGAATTTGATGAAGTAACAGCAGACGCAGCTGCTGCCGCCGCTGCAACAGCGGCAATACTTGCTGCACGTATAATTTCAAGTGCTGGTTGACAATGTTGTCTTGGTCCAGATTCTGGATGGTAAGTAAATGTTAAACCACTCGCATAGATAATGCCATCTTGTCGCACTAAACTAATTGGCACCTGGGGTATATAGTAAATTGTAGAGAAAACAATATACACAATATGAAAGTAGACTGTTCATTCAAAAAAAGGTTGTGGAAATCTTACTTAACATAATCTGTAGAATGCTCCAATTTGTTAGACTTTATTGAAATTAAGCTAAGACTAAATAAAGTTAAAATTGTATCGTAAAAGTCTATTTGTTAAGAAGTGAATGTAAGCAAAATAGATTATTTGGATACACTAATGAAATGTTGTGAACTACCAATGGTAAAAATAATTGTTGACGCTTACTGTACGAATTTTTCTGCGTCTGGTGTAACGAGCTCGCTCTGACGTGCATTACCTGCACTTGATGATGAGTCGAAAGGGCAATTATCGACCCCGAGACACTTGACGGACTGGGAGACCAGCAACTGTTCTTTCAACTCACCTTTCCAGCGAGTCCCCATGCGGCGTAAGACGCAGAGCTCCGAACTGCTGTAACTCTGCCTGGTAATCAACTGGGGAACCAGACGTCCCGTGTCTCCTCGTCGACAAAGTCTATTCCACCGAGCCTCACCTTCGTCGAGCTCCGCAGCAGTGTCTCTAGAGTCGTTGGCTCTGCCCCCAGCTCCCGTATCTTTATCAGCTCTGTAGTGGCTTAAAACTGCCCCAGGAAACTCTTAACATCCTCATCCTTAAACGGTAGAGGTCATGGCACCTTCATCTTGTCCTTGGGCAGTGACACCACTGGCTAAAGGAATATCTTCTTTTGATCTTCAAAGTACCCTGCGTATCCCATGTTTTTGACCTCCAAGAATCTTTCTCCTCGGCTGCGACCACAGCAACTTCCACGCGACGTTCTGCTACATACCGCCTATAGGCAGTCTTATGAGTAGCATTCACCACACCAGTAGTACAGCGGGAAACAAAGTAATTTCGAGATTCAGATTTTCATTCGCTAAAGCATAAGGGTCACACGCACACTACATACGTCTGTTAAACTACGACGAAATATTTCTCCTTAAATTAATTCTTAGTCAACACCATAGAGTTACAGATGTTGTATTCTTCTTAGAGAACATGAAAAAAATTAGAAATGGAACTGAACTGTAATCACTTTTAATCAAATTTAGGCAACAATACAACAAACAAACTTATAACTTTGAAATAAACCATGCTTGTTCTTGACTCACATAAACTAATTTTTATATTTTGACAAATGAAACGAAGGTGAAATGAGTCCAATGATAGTGAGCGACGATAAACATATTCGATGATGCTAAATATATTAGATTATATAGTAAAGTCACTCTAATTTGGTCTTCATCGTGTTGACCGCTTGTACTGTCTGACTTAAATGCGATTTTCAATTGTTGGTCGGATATTATGTGGTTATCCATATCATGTGACCTATTTAGTGTATCACCTAGTAATTTTAATGACTGTTATCTAGCGTACCAAGTATTGTCCATTATTTATTGAAGGAAAACGGAAACAAGTTTTGTCAACGTTATTAATGCAATGATAATCTTTTGATATCCTTTAGTCATTTACTAATCATAACTACACAAAATATATATTAATCATCGTATTAGATCACGTTATTAAA